AAACTACTCACAAAAAGCCAGAAGTGGCACCTGTGGCTCAAATGGTAGAACATTAACCTGAGCCAAAGAAGCTCAGGGACAGCACCCATGCCCAGAGTTCAAGCCCCAGGACCAGGGAAAGAAAAAATGAAAGTTCCTAATTCAAGTCTCTTCCCTTCCTGTCTTTTCTTCAGCATCAATTTAGCCAGTGGTCTGCCAATTTGTAGCTTTTTTATGTGTAGGTTTTTTTTGGTCTCTATTTCATTGGTTTCTGCCTTAATCTTTACTATTTCTCTGGTTAGTTGTTTGGGGTTTGGTATGCTCCTGTTTTTCTAACAGCTTTAGTTGCATCACGAGGTTATTTACTTATGCAGTTTCTGTTTTCTTTATGCACACAGTTAGAGTCATGAACTTTCCTGTTAACCCTCCCTGCTTTTATAGTACCTCAGTGGTTCCAGTATGATGTGTGTTCATTTTTGTTGAATTGTACAAAATTTCTGATTTCCTCCTGTATTTCTTCAGTAGCCCACATGTTGTTCAGCAGTGTGTGGTTCAGTGTCCAGGTGTTTGAGTGTTTTCTGCAGTATGTTTTGTTATTGAGAACTAGTTTGATTCCATTGTGATCAGATAGGAGGCAAGGAGTTATCTCAATCCTTTTATATTTGTTCAGGCTTGTTGCATGTCCTAAGATATGGTCCATTTTAGAGAACATTGCATGGGATGATGAGAAGAAAGTGAATTGTGTGGTTGTTGGGTAATATACTCTGTATGTTTATCAAGTTATTTGGGTTATGGTATCATTTAGTGAGAATGGATTGTTAAAGTCTCTTACTATTATTGTATTAGGTTCTAACATGTTCTATAAAGCTGAGTGTTTGTTTAATGTATTTAGGGGCTCCATTGTTTGGTGTATAAATATTAACCACTATGATTTCCTTTTTGTAGATCATTCCCTTTATTCGTAGGTAATGACCTTCCTTGTCTCTTTGTACTGATTTTAATGAGAAGTCTATTTTGTCAGATATCAGTATGGCTACTCCAGCCTTTTTGCAGGATGCATTTTCATGAGAGACTTTATCCATCCCTTCACTGGGAATTTCTGTTTATCTTTGATTGTGAGATGGTTGGATCTTGTCTTTGATCCAGTCTACTGATCTATATCTTTTGGTTGTGGAGTTGAGCCTGTTGATGTTTGATATTACTATGGACAGATATATCATTTTTCCTGCCATTTTGTTGTTTTCCTATAATGTGCATCTTTCCTCTTCTTGTGTTTACTAAACTAGACTTCTAGTGACTTTTATTCAATGCTGACTCCCTAGGCGCAGATGTGGCTCTCTGGATGACAGCCAGGGAGCGCCCAGCTGCTTAGAAACATAAAACAGATTTAAGAGAATGCCACCCAAAACAGGTTAAAATCATCTGGCCTCTTGTTTCACTCCTGGAGGCTTTTAATGGCTTTTACCTGGCAGGAAAGCCTTTCCCAGAGGGTTACAAAGACCAGAGACTCACAAAGGTGCAGCACGATAAATACGACTACATAAAAATGTAAAACTCAGCCAGGCACCAGTGGCTCACACCTGTAATCCTAGCTACTCAAGAGGCTGAGATCTGAGGGTTGCAGTTCAAAGCCAGTCTTGGCAGAAAAGTCTCCATGAGATTCTTAGCTCCAATTAACCACTCAAAAACCAGAAGTGAAACCAGGTGCTGGTGGCTCACACCTGTAATCCTAGCTACTCAGGAGGCTGAGATTTGAGGATCACGGTTCAAAGCCAGCCCAGGCAAAAAAGTCTGTGAGACTCTTATCTCCAATAAACCACTAGAAAACTGGAAGTGGCGCTGTGGCTCAAGCAGTAGAGTGCTCACTTTGAGCTGAAGAGCACAAGGACAGCGCCCAAGCCCAGAGTTCAAGCCCCACGACCAACAACAACAACAACAACAAAAAACGGAAGTGACACTGTGGCTCAAATGGTAGAGTGCTAGCCTTGAGCACAAAGAGGCTCAGGGACAGTGCCCAGGTCTTGAGTTCAAGCCATACAACTGACAAAGAAGAAGAAGAAGGAGGAGGAGGAAGAGGAGGAGGAGGAGGAGGAGGGGGAGGAGGGGGAGGATGAAAACTCCTTCATGGCAGAAGTTGAAAGCCCCCTTTCCAAGAAGCTAATGGCTTAAATTACACCCATCCCCCTACATTCAGAGTGGGGAGTGGGTGTTTCTCCAGCTGCTGCTGGAGTGTACTTTCTCCCTTCTGCCCACCTTTCCCCAAAGGGGTACCAGAGGCACACCCAAAGGCATCCCAAGAGAGTCTTTTGGCTTTGAGCAGGGATCTCAGCCATGTGTTCGACTATCCCTCCCTCTTCCGTTCTCCCTTTTCAACTCTCTACACACCACTAGGTGGCACTTGAATGCCACGAGAATCCCCCTTGTCTGTGGCAAACTTTGAGAAGCCCTCAAACCAATCCAAACACCTTCACAGATGTTTTCAACTTGTTCTTTTCCTCTTTCAAATTTCAGAGTGACTCTAAGGAAACATGTATGTGTCTTTCTAGCTTCCACTATCTACTTGGTTATAAAGAACATGTGCCATTGAGTAGGTCAGACACCCACTGAAGCCACCTCTTCATCTGTGGGAGACTGAATCTCTGGTAGCCAGCTGAGGTGCCTACTGCATCTTGGTGTCTGGACCAAACCCAGCCAGGAAGGCTGGCACTTCCCCAAACTTAAGGAAAGTCACAGTTTCTTCACGCTCACACTGGGATGCCCCTTTTGGCTGTACCATTATCTGGTGTAGAGGTGTGTGGCCAGTTTTCTGGCTCTCTGCAGATGCTCTGGAAACCCTTGTGGCCTCACCACTAAAGATCAAAGACAGTGATGGACAGCAGTGGCACTTACTTGACTGTCTGAGGCCTCCATTACTCTCAGAGCCACCACCCTCCAGCCTGGCTTCTCCCTAAAACACCCCACATAGATTGACTCTGTTTATCATAGGGATTTCTGATAGACTCAATAACATGTCCCCTGGAGTAAGAAGGCATGTCTCCAAATGACCCATACAGCTGCTGTCTCCTCCTCACCTCATCAGTTTGCCAACATCTGGCCTGAGGGCCAGACAGATGGAGCATTGAGAGGGAGAGATCAAAGACAGGAAGAAGTAACAATATGTGGAAAGGGCAGAGACAGAGAGAGATGCAAAGACTCAAATGCATACTAAAGGATGCAGAGAGGAACAGTGGGAGGAACAGAGAGGAAAGAATGAGAGAAAGGAAGACAACTTGAAGGTAATCATTGCTGCTAGCAGCAGACATGGAAGTAGGTACAGGTCAAGAAGGGGGAAGAAAGCTGGTTGTTGAGCTGAGTGCTGGTGGTACACGCTTATAATCCTAGCTACTCAGGAGGCTGAGATCTGAGGATCACGGTTCAAAGCCAGCCCAGGCAAGAAAGTCTGTGAGACTCTTATCTCCAATTAATCACCAGAAAATCAGAAGTGGTGCTGTGGCTCAAGTGGTAGAGTGCTCACCTTGAGCTGAAGAGCTGAAGGACAATGCCCAAGCTCAAAATTCAAGCCCCATGACCAAAAGAAAAAAAAAAAAAGCTGGTTGCCAATGGCTCACGCCTCCCATAACCCTAGCTACTCAGGAGGCTGAGATCTGAAGATCATGGTTCAAAGCCAGCCTGGACAAGAAAATTGATGACTCAATTAACCGCCAAACAGCTTGAAGTGGAATTGTAGTTCAATTGGTAGAATGCTGGCCGAGAGCAAAATAAATAGATAAGAAAATATAGACTAGAGGTGAAGGGGGTTGTATCAGCATCATGAGCACTATTATTCACTGTCACACTCATACTGACAAAGCACAGCCTAGGTCCTTGTCCTTAATGCATCCATCTTTTTTTTTGGGGGGGGTCTAGTCGTGGGCCTGAACTCTGGGCCTGGGTGCTGTCCCTCAGCTCTTCAGCTCAAGGCTAGCGCTCTACCACTTGGGCTACAGTGCCACTTCCGGCTCTTTTCTTTTTGCTTATGTGGTGCTGAGGAATCGAACCCAGGGCCTCAGGCATGCAAGGCAAGTGCTCTACCACTGAGCCACCTTCCCAGCCCAATGCATCCATCCTTACTGGCAGACCTGTCCTCACATACCAGAAAGATGAATGGACAGGCCAAGATAGACCTAAAGGCGTCGTGTGTAGTTAGGCCTTGAACGCCAGGCTCAGGGAGCTGACGGAGGTCAATCCATACTTGAGCAGAGAATGGCGTGGTGGCAGCTGGGTTCAGGCAGACCTGTGTCATTGGGTGGCCAAGCCTAGTAGACAGGGTAGCACTGAGCTTCTAGCCCCTCCACAGCACCCCTGTCTGATTCTGCTTGCTTCCCTACCTTTGCTGATGCACCGTCCTCTACCGGAGTACTGACTTTCCATGACCCTTCTCACAGCAAACACTGAGATGAGGTTCAGGGCTCTTCTGCACAGACATGGTACCATATGCCTTTAATACCAGCGCTTAGGAGGCTGCAGCAAGGGGGATCATGAATTGGAGGCCAACGTGGGCTATACATCACAAGAGCATTACTAAGGCTTAATATAATCAAACTTTCCAGCAGGCAAGAACAGGCGTCCTTGAACAACACATGAGAAACTCTCCTGGGCATTTGGACCAAAAAATATGCTTTTGTTCAGCTGGCATCTTTGCCTTATCACACTCAGAATTTGCCTGTCTCTGGCTAGTAGCTCGGCCAGCTGCTTGCCTGAGTGTCCAAACACTGAAGAGAGAAATGAGCTAGGAGCATGGAGGGATGGGCGGGCTCATTTGCCTAGAGGTGCTTTGAACTGGGTAGGCACAGGGTGGAGCCACTGCCCCCCCCCAAGGGAGTGGCACTGAGGACAATTGCTTGCTGAAGACAGCCTAACTCTGGGGTGGACACCGGAGCCTGCACTGGTCCCAGCTTCCTTCTTGTCCCCTAAGACCAGTGGAAGAGGAGAGAGAGCCCTCTGTGACCCCCAGCCTCCCAAGTCTCTGCTTTGCTGCAACCATGGATAGATTCCGCATGTTCTTCCAACATTTCCAGTCCAACTCCGAGTCTGTGATGAACGGCATCTGCCTGCTGCTGGCTGCGGTCACCGTGAAACTGTACTCCTCCTTCGACTTCAACTGCCCCTGCCTGGCCCGCTACAATGCCCTCTACGGCCTGGGCCTGCTCCTCACGCCCCCTCTCGCCCTCTTCCTCTGCGGCCTCCTCCTCAACCGGCAGTCGGTCGTGATGGTTGAGGAGTGGCGCCGGCCCGTGGGGCACCGGAGGAAGGACCTAGGTATCATCAGGTGCTGTCCCACGCTTCTCGGTGAACTGCGGGCACTGTCAGGGCCACCCTCACCTAGACCTGGCTGCTATTGGGTGTGCCCCTCTTTCCCAACTAGGGATCATCAGCTCAAAGATTATTGGCTTGGGGGTGGGGGAGGGAGAGAGGGTACTGGGACTTGAACTCAGGCACAGGTGCTGTTCCTTAGTTGTTTTGCTCAGGGCTGGCACTCTACCATTTGAGCCAGAGCTCCACTTCTAGTTTTCTGCTGGTTAATTGGCAATAAAAGTCTAACAGACTTTCCTGCCCAGGCTAGCTGTGATCTATGATCCTCCGATCTCAGCCTTCAGAGTAGCTAGGATTAAGCGGGAATCACCAGCACCTGGCCAGGCATCATACATTTTCATTTATTTACTTTTGGTAGTAGTGGAGATGGATCTCATGTTTTACCACTCTGCTTTGCCTCCCGCTCTATCAGATCTGTTTTGAGCAATATAAGACAGGAGATGTTAAATACTTTGGCAAAGCTCTCATAGCTGGAAGGTGGTGGCACCCAGATGCCAGCTCAGGCTGACTCTGCAGCTGGATGGTAGCTGCCTTTTGTGACTCCCTCCTTTCTCTGCCCCCTAGATACATGTGCTCTTCTGTGCTGCAGAGAGCAATGGTTGCACCCCTGGTCTGGATCCTGCTAGCCCTCCTTGATGGGAAATGCTTTGTGTGTGCCTTCAGTAACTCTGTGGATCCTGGGAAGTTTCTGGACTCAGCCAACATGACCTCCAGCCAGGTGCAACTCTTCCTGGCCAAGGTACCCTGCAAAGAAGATGAGCTGGTCAGAGACAGTCCTGCTCGAAAGGCTGTATCTCGCTATCTGCGGTGTCTGTCACAGGTAATTAGGGTGCTCCTGCCCTACCTTCATGCCCCCTGGGAATGGCCCATATTATTTCCCAAGTATCCTCCTGTCTGCTGGAGACATATTCAAAGAATGGGAAAGGTAGGGGGTCCAGGGCAGGAGCAGGATAGAAGAGTGGAGAATGAGCACGGGTCCATCAGGATTGATTTACCCCAGGATAGGTAGCCAAGAATCCTCCAGACGCATCCCCAAAAGGCCGGATGAGAACAAGGAAGCTCTGGAGATGGACTGCTGTGCCTTCTCCATACTAATCAGAAATAACTCAGGGCCTGGAGGCTGTCCCTGAGGTTTTTGGTTTTTTGTTTTGTTTTTCTCAAGGCTGGCACTCCTACCATTTGAGCCATACCTCTACTTTCACATTTTTGCTGGTTAATTGGAGATAGTCTGCCCAGTGGGATCCTCAGATCTCAGTCTCCTGAATAGCTAGGATTACACATGTGAGCTACCAGCTCGTGGCTTTGATTTTCTGCTCATCTTGTTTGAGGGAGGGAGCCTATGTGTGAACACACAGGACAGCTTTTCAAATGATGGGAATCACATCTACATATGACAAAGACTCCCATGTCTTTATGGTTTAGCCAAGGTCAGAGAGGTGTTCTAGGCTTTCAGCTGAGCCTGGGGAAAATGATAGCTTTGGAAGGTAGATGGGAGAGGAGTTAGCTGGGAATGGGTTTCAGCTTCAGATAACAGCTTCCAGTTTTTCTTTCTGTGGAGCTGGAACACTATTCCCCTAGCACAGTACCTTTCACATAATATAGGATGGATGGAAGCATAGATGGGAAGATGGATAGAGAAACATGTGGGAGAATGGGCAAAGGATGGAATAAAATGTAAGAATAGGGGGCTGGGAAGGTGGCTCAGTGGTAGAGCGCTTGCCTTGCATGCATGAGGCCCTGGGTTCGATTCCTCAGCACCACATAA